TAACACAAAAAATTAAGAAAATAATTAAACATATTTATATAATATGTCCCAAGTATTGATCAGTTGGACAAAACAGATCCTCCACAAATTCCAGAAACCTATATCTATTTCCTGGCTTTATCGTGTCTCAATTATATCGCAGACGGATTGTACAATTTTGTCATTACGAGCCTCGCACCAATAATTCAAAAACAACAAAATGAAAAATCGAACGCGGAAATTACCGCTCAGAACTCATCATCTGACGCAACGGATTCTTCCGCAATTCTTTCTTCAAATAATAATAATAATAATTCCTTGGTATTTTGCACTACGAATCTTCAAATGCTAGAAACTCATCCAGATCATAAAGAAATCCTCCTTGTCAAAGATATGGCAAACACAGCATGGCCAGGTTTACTAGCAGCACAGTCATTCTTTCTTACTGCTAATTTGGATGAAGAACTTTTCCAATGTTTAATGCGAGCTTATCAGAATTTCACTATTGTATGTGGTGTACTTCAATTGACAACACCTCGTGACGCTTTTTTGACTAGTTTATGTAAAGGCGCAGTGCCTCCAAGTGTTATCGCTGCTTCCTTAGCTGAAAATAAAGCAACACAGGGTGCAACTCCCAATGCTGGTGCCGGTGATATTCCAAGTGTTTCTTTATCGGATCGAAATTTAGCATGTTTGAAAATTTTACTTAATATTGCTCAGCAACTTGGTGGAGTGCTCGATGATTCGTGGTATCTTGTGTTAGAGACACTTCAACTGGCTGATTTTATTCTGTTTCATAAATATGCCCGAGGGCCTCCTCAAAATTCACGTAGAATTGGTACACATCAAAATGCATCGAGTTCCGCTATTTCATTGCATGCTAGCACAAACCCGCCAAATACCTCCACGGCGATAAAAAGCAAACGTTCGACTGCATCTAGTGCCGGGGTAACAACGCTCGGTTCATCTGTGCAAGCTTCGACGTCTAATTCTAGTATAACTTCTCAGCAATCAGCTATCGACAATGATCTGAACGTATTAGCGACACAAATAAAAAAACTATTTGAAAATAGCAAATATTTGGATGATGCAGCCTTGCAATCATTTACAAAAGCATTATGTAGGCTTAACACTCAAACCAACGGTATATCATTAGAAGATAATGCTTCAGCAGGAGCTGACTCTGAAAAAATGGAAAAAGGTTTCAAAACCACACCTTTGACTGCCCTACGAGGAAATGTAAGAATAAACAGTTTTGTTGCAAATATTCTAGTTTAATATTATAAAAATTTTCTAATAAAAATTTTTGAATTATTAGAAATCTGATGAAAAATCATTTGCAATTGAGAAATTACGTATAGTTGCGTTGCTCAACATGCATCGCCTTGTCACCCATGAATTATCGCTCATTTGGGACTTAATAGTATTACATTTAATTGCTACAGCCAACTGTATTTCAGTTCCACAACCAATACGTATGCAAGCCTGCGAATCCTTGGATGAAGCTGTCATTTCGAGTATGAATCACGCTAGCTCGAACCAAAATGAAACTAATGAACGGATTCAATTGCAATTATTAATTTCGCTTAATCAACTTGTGAATAATCCGGAACGACATTCCACTAGCACCGGAAATAAAGGACAATACGTTGAAGTGCGTAAAATGGGCCTTGAAACTCTAAATAAATTATTACAAACTTCTGGACATTCTTTTACGAATGGATGGAACATGATTTTTGAGATGATCAAAAGTGTGGTTATTTTGTCGTCTTTTGGAGAATGTGAAGAGGAAGAAGGAGGTAGTGTTGGTGTTACTGGTGAAAATTCGAGTGTTG